AGATAAAGCAGGAGGAACTAGAGCAGCAGATTACTACCACCAAGGAGGCTGAAGAACGCTTCCACCATAATTCACAACTCATCAGAGACAGGTATTTAACTTTCCATAAAGTATTTTCCTAAATATAGTAGCTTGTGCTTTTTGAAATAGGAGTTTGAAGCTAGAATTTTACTTTAGTCATAATATTAGTAATATCTCAATAGAGCATTAAAGATCCTGTTTTTTTTCCTGGTTTAGAATGAAGGTGCTGGAATCAATGGTAGAGACAGCCAACAATGAGAAAAAGGCAATTGAGACGCAGTTAGCAGAGTCTCAAGAGGCTGTCAAGGCTACTGAAATGGAGAATGCCAGACTACAGGCTGCTGTAGATAGTGCCAAAGAAAAGGTATCTAGCATTATATAATTTTCAGTGGTACCTTTGTACAAATATATTTGTGCATCATTTATAGAAAAGATTTTCCTTTGATATAGGTTTTTACTCACAGCATCTAAAAGGCAGTTAATTGTTTTAGATAACAGAACTGGAGGCAGCAGTAATCTCAGGGGAGAAGAGTGAGTTGGCAGATCTACTAGAAAGAGTGAGGCAAGAGAAGGACTTGCTGGAGAAGGAGAATGCAGCTCTCCAGCAAAAGGCGAGTGCCATGGCTTGTGAGAATGAGAGACTCAAGGACCAGATATCCAGTCTTCAGGATGAGCTTATGGTAAAGATTCTGATTTTTTGAAAAAACAGTTTGGAGTCTGCTCTAAAGATGGAGGCATTTGGTGGACAGTATTCTCTGCTGCCTGGATGGTTTGGGGAGCTGCTGCAAAGTAGTTTGGATTTTTTATTTTTCTTCCTTATATATCTTTTATTGATCTAGCATATATTATGCTTTTTCTCAGTTTAGTTTGCCTAACTTTTTTCTAAAATGGATGTGATCAGAAGGTAGGCCAGTTGTTCATGCTTTTCCTTTTTGAGTGCACGTTTTCAGCTGATTCACTTATTATTTTTTCAAAGCAGGCTTTTAAAGTATTTTGCTAAGTATTCATTATATATTTTAATGCTTATGCCTCATTTTTTGTTTCTGCCTTTGCAATCATAATTGTAATTAAGTTGTTTGTTTGCTTTTCTGTGGGTAAAAGGTTCAGTGAGTTCAAGCGAATAAGTGTTTCCTTTTTTACTCATTTTCAGGTTGCTCGTAACAATGCACGAACACAACTTGAAGATGCTGGGTGGCGGAAGGCACAGCTGGAGGAGGAGCGTCATCACTTGGAGGAAGAGACAGAGGTGCTAAGAGCCACCATGGAAGACCTCAAGCTGACATGCCAGCACCATTTGGAGGATAAGCGAGACCTCAAAGCCAGCCTTTCAGAATCACAGAAGAAACTCCATGAAGCCTTGGAGAAGCTGAATGAGAAGGAGCGTTGCTTCAGTGAGGAACGAGCACAGTTCAGCAAACAGGTACAGACCTCTAGAAAACTTTTATTTCTGGAATTTTTTCAGTTGGGTTAAGATTTGATAATTTTTTAATAACCTTGCTTAGAATTTAGTATTTATTGATAGGATAAGTATCACTTGAATGATTCTCTCGACTTCATTGGCAGGTGGAGGAATGGGAGCAGTTTCAGAGTGATCTTTTGATGACAGTGCGAGTTGCTAATGACTTCAAGACGGAAGCACAGCATGATCTGGAACGCCTAACACAAGAAAACACTGTTTTGCGAGACAGGCTCAAGCAACTTGGCCAAGACTTGGAGAAGGCAAAGGGTATGATCCTATGCACTACATTGAAATTTACAATGTGGATATAGTAATACATGATGTAGGGAGCCATTTCCATAGAGAAGAAAAAAAGGTAAAAGGAACGAATTTGGGGGAAAAAAAATCTCTGTTCTCTTTAGCAGCTGTTAAAGTATGCAGCCCAGTGAGTAGCACAAGCAGCAGCAGTATGAGCAGCAGCAGCAGCAGCGAGCGCAGAACTATCCGGAACTTGCCTACGCCCATGCCTAATGGAGAACCATCCATCCTGGCTGATCGTCGCAACCCTAGACCTCTGGCACGAGGGGATTCCCGTGTCAAGTCACTGATAGGTGAATCATTGTGTTTCTCCTCTTCCTATTCTTCTTTGGTGGTGGGGAGGGAATGCTCATACATTTTGCTTAGGCTGCCATTAGAGGGAAAATGGCTTAGTTTGATAATGAGTAATGCAAAAATCTAAGCCTACTAGATCAGGCAATTAAATAACTTTCCCAATATAGATCATCAGTTTTTGACATGATGGGTAAAATTTCAGTGAAAGTTTGGTGACATGGGTGCTTTTGTGCAAATCACTCTGGAGCTGAAGGCCCGACTTTCAAAATACACAATTTCTGGAATCTTCCTAAATGAAATATATTTTGTAGGCTTACCATACCTCAAGGTATGGCTGCATTTCCTTCTACCCTGCTGGTCATTCTTAATTGCCAGAGTGGTTTCTCTTCTCATACAGTTCTCTCTTTCTAACTCCCACCAAGTCACAAGAGACCACATCACCCACCATCCCAACCTGTACCCCATTACCCAAGGAACATCTCTCTCCATACAGTTGCCTCTTAGCATGACTGAACTACTAGATAGTATTTTGTTTCTTACTCTATATTTTGTTTACTTAGATATGATAACTACATGATTTGTTTGCATGATGGATTGTGATTTTAATGCATTAATTGTTTTATTTACAGGATAAAAAAAAAATCCCCCATATTATTATACAATGGAATGTTCAAATCTGATACTCTACTCTTAATTAACAATTTGACAGAGCAGTATAAGATATGCATTTTATGGAGGGTAAAATCAACGTCTTCAAATAATTAAGATCAAATTTGCCCCTTACACAAGTTGTAAATACAGATTGATTTACAGTGGGGGCAAGGTTAGGCTGTGGATTAAGGATTTAGGGTATTAAAGGATCAACAAAAATACTTAGTTAAAGTCATACATGAATAGATTTATATCAAGTGCATAATTGTGGAGATAACAAGAGGAAATGGCATGTTTTATTTCTGTTTACACTTTCATCAATAGAACAAGTTTTGAAAAGAAGTGTCTTTCCAGAATCCATTGAGTGTGCAACTCGACAGACCCGTGCAGGATCTCGAAGTTCCTCTACATCTAGTTTGTGCAGCTCAAGTAGTGAAAGCAACAACAATAATAACAATAACAACAAGACTCCAGGACCACTTCTCAAAAGAGCTGATACTGAGGTACATTTGTGAGATCAAACAGGAAAGAAATCAGATAGATGAAGTGATGCACATTTATTGGAAACTTTGTATAACATTCTGTTTCTTGAATTTTCATACAAGATTTGAATTTGTTTTGTGTAAAGATTATGTTGCAGTGAAAGTATTAAAGCATCATTAAATATTTCAATAGTTGTATATTATAATTAGCAAATTTTTGTTTCTCCAAACAGGGTGTCATCCGTGGTAGTTCCACTTCACCACTTAAAGACGCAGGTAACACCCTGGGCACATCAACATTATCAACTCCCTTGAGAGCCATTCAACGCAATTCCTTCACAGAAGGAGTAACCCAGTCACCATTCTTACAAAGCAACTTCACTAAGCCTTCCACTGGCTCATCAAATCTCTCAGACAATGTTAAAATGTCACAGCTGACAGACAAAAACAGTGGAAAAATATCATCTATGAATCCTGGAGAAAATGTAGCCAAACCGATCTCCATATTAAGCAACAAGCTTGACCACTCTGTAAGACGTAACAGCTATGGTCAGGTAAGCTTTGAATTTCTCTGACAACTATAGGAGTAAAGGTTGTCTGATTTATCTGTCTGCATATTTTTTCATGTAATTTGTTGTTGTTATTATTATTATTATTATTTGTTATTATTATTATTATTATTATTATTATTATTATTATTATTATTATTATCCTTTCCCCCTATAGATAAGTGCTGTCGTAGACAAGAAGGATCCTTTGGCTTCTTTGGCTCAAGGTGGTGGCTCCAAGAGGAATGCATTGCTCAAGTGGTGTCAAAACAAGACCATAGGTTACAGCAATGTCGACATCACAAACTTCAGCTCCAGTTGGAATGATGGTCTTGCTCTTTGTGCTCTGATGGACACCTACATCCCTGACAAAATTTGCTACAAAAGTCTCTCTCCATCGAATAAGAGGCAGAATTTTGAAGTAGCAATATCTGCTGCAGAAAGTGTTGGTGTGCCGAATACACTCGTAAGTATAGTTTTTTGTTATCATGTGCTAAATATATTTCATAAGATTTTAACACGTTATTTTTCTGAATTCACAGTTGAGCACTTCTTTTGTTTGTTTACATTTAATATTTAATGTTTTAAAGTCGTTGATAATTGACTAAGAAAAATAATATATACACTTTCTCCACAGGATGTGAGTGACATGATTACATCAGAGCGACCCAACTGGCAGACAGTATATAATTATGTGACATCTATATTCTGTCATTTTGAAACTTGAGTTTTGATGTAGGATGCTGGTTGGTTAAGAAAGAGAAATATTTTGAAGGAACATTCATTATGTTTAGAGGCCTTTGCTGATCATGACATTAGTTAATATTTTTATCTGCTGTTGTAAAATTTTCATCATGTACCTCTTTACTAGTGTTTTTCTGTCAAGAACTATGGTGCCTATCCACCTTCAAAGGGTTCATTTAATATCTTTTTTTTCTTTCTCTTTTTTTAAGTTCATGCTGTCTCATAATATAATTTTTAAACAGGCACCATTGCTTTGCTCTGAGTCTTAAGATAGTAGTTTGAAATTATTTTATGGGCAGAAGTACAATACTAGTTACTTTTTGTTAATTTTAATTGTAGATTTCTTTATATTTTATTAAGGAAATATTGTGTCTAGTCGAAATTATTCACAATGAAAAAAAGACAAGTAAATTCTTGTTATATTTTTATCTGGCTGTGTGTAAAGTTCTCATTGTGTGATGAACCAAGTAATGTATAATAATAGAAGAAAAATATGTACAGAAAATTAATAAAAGATAAAGATTGGTCCTGCAACATTACTGAATAACAGTTCTGTCTATCCATAATTTTGAATGCTATTTTCAATCTGTAAAACTCTCTACAGTACCATAGACAAGCACTGAAGGGAATTTTTCCCATTATGATTCCAAGACGAATGTGATTATAATGTTTTTCATACCTTTTGATATTATGATTATAATGTTACTTTTACTATTACTGTTAATCATTTATTACCCTCAGCTACTCCAGCATTGTTATCATTTTTATATACATATTAAAGAAATGTGTCTCCTCCTGCTTCCAATCCTGTATATTACAGCTTCTATAGAAGGTAAAGCTCTAGCTGTAGTTAGCCAGGTGCTAACTGAGCCGCGAGGATTACAGCACCACTGCAAGAACTGCTTAAGACTTGAATATAGTCATTTGGCTCGAAAGAAAAAGAATCCTTAATTTCTTACCAAATTTTAAGGATTTTTGTTTGCATTTCAGTGATGTTGTGGACTTCTGGGATTTTTCACCCATTATTTTTTTATTATTCATAATGCAAAGTTGTGCCTTATAAACATTAAAGGAATAACTTATATTCAGTTGTGCAGTGTCATCTGCTAGGTATATAAAAATGAGAGCTTACCAAAAAGATGGTATTGTCATTCCCAAGATGACAATGAGAAGGCTAGATTTACTGTATATTTGTGGAAATTTAAAGATTATGAGTGCATTGTAAATTAAAACTACATAATGAACTGCTACATAAAATATTCCTTGTCTGCTAGCTTCATGTTATTTCAACACGATAGGCTACTTTACATATTATCATGTCTTCATCATTAGCTTCATATCTGTCAGATTTTATTGTTAGTGTACAAAGTTTTGTAAACAGTCATGCATCATATTTGGTGCAATGGCTATGTAAATACGCTTGTATATAGTAATGTTTAGGTACTAAGGGTTAAAACGTATGCAGTACATATAGTGCAACTGTGCATGTAAGCTTGCAAGTTCCTATGGCACACATGGAAGCAGTATTATAATAAACACTAAAGCTTCAAATTGCTTTTTTATTGCCTTTGATTTATTTATTTGATTTTTTTATAACCTGTACTGGAGTACATCTCCCTCTCAAGTTTCTTGCTTGTTATATCTCTCTATTATCCCTCCGTTCCCTTCCCCTTCTCTATCTCTCTCTCCTCTTTTATTCCCCCCTCCCCCTTCTTCCTCTCCTTTCAATTTCCCCCCTCTTTTATTCACTTCTCTCTCTTTCTCCCTCCTCTCTTTTTATCAATATACTTGTCTTTCTGGTTATCTCTCCCCTTCTTTCTCTTGCCATTATTATTATTTTCATTAATATGTTTATTATCATTGTTATTCTTTATCTGCCATTATCAGTGTTTATTATCATTATTAGAATTATGATCATGATCATTATCATTACATATATCATTGTCATTGTTACTCTTATATTTTTCATCATGATCATAAATTTCATACCATCATTGTCATTATCATATTTGCTATCATTACTTATTATATTAATAATGATAATAAAAAATACTATTATTATTACCATCACTGTTTCTGTTCACATGTCAACAGCAACTTGTATGACTACTTACTACAACTACTACTATTATTGCTAGTACTACTGATACTAATACAATTGCTGTTGCTGCTATCTGCAACTATTATTACTGTTGCTCTCTACTACTACTACTACTACTAATTTTACTAGTATTATAGTATTCTTTCACTGTTACTATTATTAGTACTACAACTACTAATGCTATTACTACTATTAATACAATTATTACTGTTAGGTGCTAGTACAAATATTAATATTAGTATTTTTACTACCATTACTTCTACTACTACAAGTTCAGGTATGCTTCAGGGATGTTACATTATATATCTACATGGATACTGATAATTGGAGGTAGAAAAAAATATCCAAAGTAGCATTCACTGCAGTTTCAGATGACCTATGGATATTTGGAATAGCAACACTAAAAACCATTTGGAGGAAGAAGTGTGTGAGTGAGTGTCATGGTATGACTACATGCCATGCCCATGGTAATTTAGCTTAGTGTCTATACCAAGATGGGAGTCAATTCATTCATTCATTATTCATACTGCCTCTCTCTAGTTTACCTTTTACTTTAACTTTGGTAAGACTTTTTAAAAATCAATTTAGTTTTTATTGTTATTAGTTATCTCAATAGCATAATATGAATCTTAATAATAAAATAAAACATTGATATTAATAGTATTGGAAAAAAATACTTTCCCACAAATTTAAGGAATTGGAAAGTCACTAGGGTTTACTAATTGGCTTCATAGTGGCTGTGCATTTGCAGAGCCATTTGTGTGCCAAAAAATGTTCCAGTGGACAGTACAAAAACCTGTAGCCAATACGCTAAGAGATAGAATGTTAATAAATTAACTTAGGGGATTGCTTGGTGAAATCTCTCTTGGGCAATGATTCAACTAACAGATTTTTCATATTCTT